TACTTGTTAATTCAAATTCCTAAAAACTAAGCAAAAACCTTATCAAATGAAGTTAAAATAATTATCAAAATAATAATTACTTTTTTTTTTCTTAAGTAGGCTCCACACCCAATGTGGGAGTTGAACTCAAGATCGTAAGATCAAGAGTCACATGCTGTACTTACTGAGCCAGTCAAGTGACCCAGTAATTAGTTTTCTTAAATCTGTAATACACAAAATTCAGAGGCAAAAAAGTAAAAACTGTCATCATCTCAAAATATGCCAAAATGTATTTAATAAAATGCAAATATATTTTTGTTTAACAGGAGACTTTATAAAAAAGATAGATATGACTGAATATTTCCCCATGTTATGAAGGATACTGATTTTAAGCCAAGAACTCTCATTCTGCTTATTGTGGCTCCCCCATTAAGAAGAACTCTAAAATGGCTTCCAGATTTCCTGTCACCTGGTGTACATACTTTGGACAATGTCCTCTCACTGATTGTAGGCAGTGCCTGTGAATATACTGGGTATCAAATCCACAATGAAATTACTAATTTAATAAGACAGGGGATTATCCTGGTGGGCCTCATCAGTAGGACTCCTGACCTATGTACCCTTTTAGGCCACTGTTTTATGGTAATTTGTTATGCAGAAAAAGAAAATGAAAATAGAATGCATATCATCATTGTAATATAACATAATAAAAATAAAAGTAGTGTAATTATTTAAGAAAAATTCTATGATAATCAAGTGAAAGTTACTTAAATATAAGTTGATTTATACATATGAAAAACAGTGTTAGTAAAAGACCCAATTCTTGGTAGTGACAAAATAATTTTTAAAACCTAATTTAAGCTAACTTAAAAATATGCTGGGTCCATATTTTTAAAAATTCACGAGACACTTCCTCAGTTAGTAACACCCACTCTTCCTATAAGCTCTCAATTTCCATTTGATCAGGGAAGCCTTCCCTGAAGTTGATTAAATTGAACTCAATCTTTACGTGTTTTTGGTGTTCCATATACTGCATACCAGTTACTGTGTTAAAAACCAGACCTCTGTGTGGTTAGTTCTTTCATTATTATTTTTTCTAACACATAAGAATCTCTCTTTCTGTTCAATGTTTTTCTCCAGGACAACTACAGAGTTTAGTGCTCAAAAAAATGTGTGATGGATGTTTATAAATGATAGAATTAAATAGCCTATTATTAATTACCCCTAAATTGGTTTATAAGTCAAAAAAGTATCAGTTAATGAATAGCACGGGTGATCTTCAACAGAGACACTTCATTATGCAGTGAAAATCTAATCAACAAAAGATAAAAGTAAAGGTAGATTATTCAAACACACAAAAGTATTTCTATACTTACTGTGTTATCAAGTTAATTTCCAAATTATGTTATGTTATTTAATCTTATTAATCTTATATTATTTAATCTTAATAAAGGCAGTGTGGTAAAGAAGAAATTGTGATAGAATTTAATCAACCTCTAAATAGAGGTAAGAAAATATGGGATTATTAAGTCATTCAAATGTAAGCTGGAATATGAAATGTAGGGTAATGATGCTTCTAAGGACATATATAGAAAAAATCATGCCCTGGCTACTTTATGAAAGAAAATGTCCCAGGGTTCCCAGATGGCTCATTCAAAAGAACCTGTGACTCTTGATCTCATGGTTGTGAGTTGGAGCCCCAAACTGGGTGTGGAGATTACTTAATAAAGTTTAAAAAAAAATAGAAATTGTAAGGACTGAGAGATTAGTAACATCACTTCCAACACCTACAAAGGAGACTATTCAGAGAGCAGAACTAATGAATGGAAAAAATTCTTATAAAACACAAACAAACAAGATATCATATCTAAGTTGATTATTTCCTCATAAGAATAGAGAAGAAAGGTGAGGACAAAACAGAGAAGAGGAGGGAGTTAAAACAAAAAATAACTAGCTGAAAAACATAAAGGAGATGAATAATCATGGAAAAGAGAAAGGAAATCTTAAAATATGAGAAAAGGCAAAAACATCATTATACAAGGAACATAGAATTGTCATAGAGGGAGAAAAAGATCAGAGGACAAAAAAATGAATGAGAGATTAGGATAAATATAAGGACAAAAGAGAACTGATAAGCAAGAGGGAGAGTAACTGAGTGGCATAGAAAGTGGAATGGTGTTAGAAGAAATAGGAATGGGAGAAAAATACACATGGGAAGCAACACAGAGAGAGGGAGAAAGACAGAGCAAGAAGGTTCAGAAAAAACAAGCAGTTTTAGGAGAGAAGGAAAGTGAAATGAGAAGAAAACACAAAACTGAATGAATGGAAAAGACAGTAGTTGAATATATGACTATACATGGGTTGATATTTCTAAGCAATTATTACAGAAGCAAATCGATGTTCTTAGGATTCCTTTTCCTGCTGGAGGTAATATGTGCTTCCATGGCCAAGAAACTCAAGGATATAAACCACTAAAATGATCATCCCTCTTTTATAATTACATTTACGTATTAAATACATATTAGTGTTTCTTCTCCTTATATTTATTTATTCAACATGTAGAATAGACCAATAAATGAATTTAAGGAATAACAAAATCAATCCTGTGTGTGTGTGTGTGTGTGTGTCTGTGGGCAGTGCTCTTTCTAGTTCTGTTAGGGGAACTTTTCAAAAACCCCTCTCATAGTGTGAGGAACTCGTGATTCATGAGGGAGGGTGTTTTGAAACTAAGGTTCTTTAAAAAAAAAAAAGAGAGAGAGAGAGAGATTCCATTCATTCATTTGAGAGAAAGAATAAGAGAGAGAGAAAGCGTGAGAGGGGGGAGGGTCAGAGGGAGAAGTAGACTCCCTGATGAGTGGGGAGCCTGATGTGGGACTTGATCCTCAGACTCCAGGATTATGACCTGAGCTGGAGGCAGTCGTATAACCAACTGAGTCACCCAGGCACCCGAAATCTAAAATTCTTAATGACTGTTCACCAGTAACAGCTACAGGAACAGTAGCACACCTCTGTCAGTCCTACCTAAAAATGAAAAATAAGGAGTTGCCTTTCCCTCCTTTGTCTTCCTATACAAGAGGAAACCTTTCAAAAGTTGGTGGGGATTTCAGCATCTGGTATGAAGCTCAAATCCCCTATATGTACCCTGGAAATCAACATTCTCTATAGCTGGGTGCCTGGGACCTTTCCTGAATCAATGTTTCATTTTTATCAGTGATAGGTAAATTCCTTTGGGATGGGGGGTGTCTTGTAGGTGTTCTCAAGATGGTTTTATGTTGCCCTGTCTTCTTTCTATGGGCAGGTCCTGTATGCGCTGTGCCGCATAGTACACAGGGCATCTAAATGAAAACAACACGCAGAGTACTGTTTCAATATGCACAGGAGTCCGTGTTCACTGTGCTATTATCTTTGTCTTCCTTCTGCGATCTATTTTCCAATCCATTTTCACCGACTTTTTAATTTGGTGTTCAGTAATACGCTGCGATCTCATCAGAAAATACATTTAGCACAATGGCTAAATTACTGGGTTGGAATTTCATTTTCTTTGGCATTTTAAGATACTCTAAGTAAACTGATAGCAAATGCTTTGGGGACGATAGACGTCCTTTATCAGTGTAGAGCTCACCACTCGGTGTTAAATTATTTCTTGAAATGGTTAGTTGGTGAGAACAATATTGAGAAGAGAAACATTAAATGTGTTTGACTAAGCTAAGAGCTCTAGCATATATTTTAAATTAGTATGTTCAGTATTATTACCCTTAATTCAGTCCTATCACAAATATACTGTGATGGCACATTTTTCAAATAAATAGGGACCAGAGAGCAGTGGAATTAGCTGACACTAACTGAATAGCTATTTTATGGATTTTTTTTTTTTTTATTCCTGTTTAAATGAGCTCCTAAGAATAAATATAGGAGACTCTTTGGAAAGGGACTGGCATGATTCAGAAATCTCTATTTACACTTCCTGGAGACAGATTCTTGGTTTAAACCCCACCCTACTGCGTGCAGAATGAAGGTAAAATATCAGCAACAAAAGGGCAGCAGGGCATGAGGGTGACACACACCCAAGGACAGGTCTTTGAAGCCTCAGTTTCCACTCCACCATCGCCCTTCCCTTTTATTCAGCTTCTGCACCCACATGAAAGAGGAAACAGTCCCTGAAGCCAATTTCAGTCTCACAGTTTAGAGTTCGGTACTTCACATGCTTCTTTAAGATGTGTGATCTTTTTCCATCATCTCTAAGATCTCCTAGATGTCTGACCTTTCACTCGGGATGTCTCGATATTCTTTTACAGAAAATTGCTGTTGACTTATAACCTAACCTTTCTTTTTTTCTTTTTTTGGTCTTTCTATCAGCAAGGCACACAATAAAGTTGCAAGTCAATATCAAGAATGAATCATTAATATATATAAGCATATTAGAGAAAATATAAAGAACAAAGCTACTATATAAACATGTAGCAACATCCCAAAAAATGGTAAAATTCCATCTGGGCTTTATCACATAAAGTAATAAATAGTATACATAAGTATGTATACTGATGCATAATATACATAAATATGATTTACTTTGTCTACTCATATTTAGCCGATCCAAAGTTATATGCACCCACACAAATAAAATATATACAAATGAATTTCTCAGTTGGACATACTTCCATATAGATGTGATGTAATGGGTTTTAAAAGATAAGCAGCTGTTCCCTTAGGAACAAGCTCAGTGTTCATCCTGCTGCGTATCTCTTTAGTGGACTTAGTGGATCTCTTCATGCAAGAAACATCCACTAAGAAGGGTGATGGATGATATTTGGTTCCCATTAGAGTAAGTTGCTTTGGCCTCAAGTAAAAGAACTGAAAGGAACAGGAAACAACCTGGTATGTCATATTCAGAAGCTGAAGCACATTTACTGTGACATTTGACGATAGTAATGTGCCTTGGTACCATATTATTTGGTGTGTCATTCTTAGATCTTATGTTGCCATAACAACAGAATATGTGTATGTGTTTAGTAGAAAGACAATCCATTTTTCCCCCAGTCAATTTTTTTCTTTGATCTAAAGAACTTGCTTCTTTTCTTTGAAGTTGTTCACAATAGGACATGATAGAGGGAGCACAGGTAATAATTACCGAAACTTCAATAGAAAAAAAAAATGTTTTAAATGAAAGTTTTAAGCCCCTTGCCTTATGTCCCAGGACTGTTAAAGATGATTGAAGAGATTCCTGCCAGTATCTATCACAATGCCCTTTTCCCCTTATCAGACACCAGCCAAAGATACAAAGGTTACCCCTTTCTTGATTAATCTATGTGACAGGGGCAAATTGCCTGTTGTTTCTGTTTTTTTCTACTGAGTGCCAGAGGCAGGAAACTACTATGCTTCACTAGTGACTCATAAGAAAACTTAATAGAAGGTCTCTAATGCCCACTGGCCCTACAATTCCTGATTGATGTAGTCCCAAACTCAGCAGGCTCCCCTCATTGAACCAAGCAAGTCAGAGGAATGGGAGTGTGTGTGGGGGAAGGGTCCCTGGCACTCTGGTAGTCAGGAAGGTGGGGCCGACATATTTTGCTCTTAATAATTTTATCTATATTTATGAAGACTACATTTTGTTATCATTGTTACCCGTCAAGTGACTATATTTGTGCGGTGGTTTTATTATCTTGCTGGTTTAAAAATATAGTTAGTAGAGGGTGCCTGGGTGGCTCAGTGGGTTAAGCCTCTGCTTTCGCTTAGGTCATGATCCCAGGATCTTGGGATCGATCCCCGCATCAGGCTCTCTGCTCAGTGGGGAGCCTGCTTCCTCCTCTCTCTCTCTGCCTGCCTCTCTGCCTGCTTGTGAACTCTGTCAAATAAATAAATAAAAATCTTTAAAAAAAAATATATATATATATATATTTATATGGTTAGTAGAGTTGGATGTCCCTGTGCAATCCTCAGTTTCCTAGACCGTAAAGTGGATTAATTAACACACCCCATGGTTCTTTTGGGGAGATGATACTAAATAATTCTGCCAATATTTAAAAGAGAACCAGAAAAAAAATTTTTTTTGAGATTTTATTTATTTATTTGACACAGAGAGAGAGATCACAAGTAGGCAGAGAAGTAGAGAGAGAGGAGGAAGCAGACTCCCTGCTGAGGAGAGAGCCAGACGCGGAGCTCAATCCCAGGACCCTGAGACCAGGACCTGAGCTGAAGGCAAGGTCTTAACCCACTGAGCCACCCAGGCACCCCAGTACCTAGGAAATTTTTAAGAGCATAATCAATGGTGATTAACTCTATGAAGATACATGAAAGACGTGGAGAGGCACTCTTAAGGCTACTACTGAGTTGATGTCACCTGCTCTTCACCCCTGGAAGTCAATGCTCCCCATTTCGGTACCGTGTGGAAGTGGTGGTCAAGTTTGCATTTGGAAGCTCCATGCTGACTACCTCCAAGGAGCTAAACCAATGCAACTAGCTACGGAGAGGCACTATGCTAGGTGTGTCACGCTTTGTAGCATTTAACTGCGATGTTGATTTGGGGTTGGAAGATACCTATCATAAAATCATTCTTTTATATACTTTATAGCTCACAAGAAACTTTACAAATATTTACAAATATTTTCAGGGTCAAATATGTACACACACTTAACATATGGTATGCATATCTTATCACAGTGTTTCTCAAATCTAACTGTACAGGAGAATCACCACAGAGAATACTAAAAATAAAGATTCATGGGCAACACAACACTGGCGTTCTGATTCAGTAGGAAAAGATGGCACCCCCCAAACTTGCATCGTGACCATTACTAAGACTGTTTTGATACCCAGTGAGGTTTGGGTCCACAAGGGTTCCAGTATGGAAACTTAATACAACAGGGACCTATTTGTACTTTATTTTTCTTTTTTCTCACATATTCATGTGCATGTCCCTCAGAAAAAGGCAATATGGCCCCCATATGACAAAACACACTTGGAAGATATGCCAGAAAAGTTGCTGATCTGAGAGGAAAAGTTTGTGTGATGCTTTACAAACTTACTACCTCATCCATGTAGGAAGCACTAAACTTGATTTTTACAAACCTTTCTTTTCCTTGAACTTTAACTATTGAAGCATTTTAAATATGCGCTGTCTCCAAATTTAACTCAGCAAAAGGCAAGGTTTATAGTCCATCACTGTAGCCTGTTTTTATATTTCCATTTATGGATTGGCTTTCATTATAATGTTAAGTAATTAATGAGATATGAAGAATGAAAATATTATGGAGCTTTATATCATTTAAAGTCTATTCAGCATTATTACATCTTTGTCAGAGGAAAATAAAATCCATGATAAAAATAAGAATTACGACCTCATCTAAACTAAAAACTATGGTTTTTGAACATTTTTGGATCAACTCAGTAGTTCTCCCTGTTCCCTTTCAGTCTCAATACATACATGACTGACCCAACTTTACTGTATTCTTCACAACCTCTCAGAGATAGCTAACAGAACTGCAAAACATACAGTTATTTCTCATCCATATAACATGGTCCTGTGGGTTAAATTTGGCTAGATAATGTTGCATATTCTCTCAAGGCATCACTCTTTTAAATAGAAGCTCCCATGGATTCTTTGATTTTTTTTCTTCAGTTATGACTTACTGGCTAAATCCTACCCAAACTGGTAGAGGTACCCACTAACAGCAGTGCTATCAGCGTTCAAAGAGCATCTAAGCTTCTTGGAGATATGGCAGTGTATTTTGTTCAGCCTACATTTAGGAAATGGGTCATGAAGCTGCTTGAAAAGTTGTTTCCCTGCTTAAAAGAGTGAAACTCTATGTGGTAATTCTTTTAGATATCCTCCCAAGTCTCCTGTATCATCTCATGCATTCTCACATTTTTTTAGCTTATGCCCTCTATTCTTCTTTGATTTGATTCCATTAAGACTTTGTTTTTTCAAATTTTATTAATTATACTTAAGAGATCTTAAACTCCACATAAGAATACACACACCATAGTGATCTTCCATTTTATCATAGTAACTGTGAGACTGAGAAATAGAGAATGCACAAAAATTATACCACATAGGAGTTCAAACAATTTTGATTTTACTCTGTCAATCTGCGGTGATCAGGAGTCAGTTTCTTTGTCACTCTAAGCCATTCCACCATATGAAAAGGGACATAAAGATGCCTACCCTCTTCCTTATAACATTATTTTGAGTTTAGCATAAAGGTGACTAATGTGAAGATACTTTGAAACTGTGAATTATTATATAAAAGAAATTATGGTATTAAAATAAATCACCTCCAGACTAACACCTGAGTTTTTATAGAGTAGAAGAGGGAACAGGCTTCTATATACAATGGATTTTAGCCAGAAATCAGTGCCGAGATTTTTAGATGTCTTTCGTGAACTATGGTTAATAATGCCTCTTAGGAGTGCTCTGAGGATGAATGAGATAAAGTTTATCTCTGGACTGCATTTGCTTCCCAACCTCCACTTTCTAAAACTCATCCTGTCTTCCAAATCCAGCCAGCTCAAATTTTGGGGAAATTTTACATATAAAAGTTTGACAAAAACAAACAACAAAATCCTCTTTCCTTTGACTTCTATATAGTTCCATCATGAAATGTATCTGACAATGATAGTTATTTGTTCACTGCCTCCTAGGTTATACCATAAACTCCTTGAAATAGAGGAAAAGTGATTTAATTAACTTTATATTCCCAACATCTGACAAACATCAGCTACCATCAATAAGCATTTGTGGAATTAAAGTAAGTAGTTGAGTAATGGGCATTCAATTGATACTAAATATATAAATGTTCTATTCTAATTTTCACCTAAAAAATTAAAATTCAACTTTCTTTATTGTTTAGAAATTTTAAAAATACCCTAGCAGCGGTATTATTATATTGAGTGTTATCATGTGAGATATTTTATTCAGGGGAAGGACTCTTCTGTAATAAACTGGATATTACAATAAAATTTAATTTCAAAAAAAATCCTGCCACATCTTGAAAATTGCAACACCATCTCTCTTTAAGATGCTTGTCCTTAAAAATGAAACAAGATGGGATCAGGAGGGAAACAAACCATAAAAGACTCTTAATCTTACAAAACACACTGAGGGTTGCGGGGAGGAAGGCGGGTTGCATAGTGTGGCTGGGTTATGGACATTGGGGAGGGTATGTGCTATGGTGAGTGCTGTGAAGTGTGTAAGCCTGATGATCACAGACCTGTACCCCTGGGGCAAATAATACATTATATGTTAATAAAAATAATTACTAAAGAAAGATGTTTGTCCTTTATCTATATCCTTAAGGAGATATTGTTGGTGCTATTTAAGTTCCAAATTACCTGTAAGTTCCACCTAAGTGATTAATATATTTTTTATACAGTAGTCATAGAATCCAGAGTGTGTTTATATACAATGGAACTGTAGTTTGAATGGATGGTAGGAAATGAACTTTAAAGCTTCCCAGAAATTCACAGCTTCAGAATAGCTAGCAAGAAAAATTAAAACGGGGAAGTTTCTCACATTGCTAACTTTTACTTTTCTCGTTCTCCAAAGCTGGGAAAAAAAAAAAAAAAAAAGCAATAATCTCAGTCTACAGGGACAAGTAGTATTTGGAACTCCCACAGAGTACCGTGCCCAGCACTCTTCAAATCTCTTGCTGAATTTCTGAATGTATACACAATGCACAGTGAAAGCACCATCTTCTTCCTTCCCCATTTTCTTGGTTCTTTCTTTTTATTCCCCTCAAAAGCATATAGAAGCAGATATCAGAGATTGAAGGAGGTAATGATCAGAATTGGTAACTGAGATGGGAAGCTCTGCCGATGATCCTAAGAATTGCTATTTTCCCCCAGACAAACATTAACTGTGTTAGACACAGTGAGAGTCACAGATCCAGGGATGGACGATCCTTTTGAGGACAATAGAGAGAGAATTTGTATAAGTTTCCTGAGTGAGAAACCTTCCAGATGGCAGCCCTGAAAGTTAGTTTTTCCTGCTCAAAACACAGAGCTTCCTCAAGAGGAAGATAACACTTCCTTTCGCCGGAGAGTAAGAGTTTGTAACAGAGTTATTCTAGAATTGGGAAACAAAACAAGTGCAAGGACTTTTTTTTTTTTTTTTTTTTTTAACATGACATAGTACAAGTCCCAGGGCTTTTCAGTTGGGGCAAAAAAAAAAAAAAAAATGCACCAGAATATAACATGGACGGTACATCTGAGGAACTCCACCCAACACAGCCAATAGGACAGAATAGCAGAGAACTCAAAGAAAAGTCAACACAGGCCAGTGTATGAAACAAAATAGAAGCAATCAAAGAGAACATAGAAGTGACCCAATTCACCCCACAGTCTTCTCATCAGAGTGGACACTCCTCTAAGAAGGAACATTACTGATCAGTAGTCATACTTGAATATAATAAATACTTGACTGTGTACATATTTAAATTAATCAGTGACTGCATTTGTTTACCCATTTTAAAACTGAGTTGTTTTTAGGCCACGTATATGATGAAAAGTTAAAATTAAAAACAAAAACCTCACATGTTCAAGTGTAACATCAACGGCAGATCATCCCTACAAGCTGATAAAACTGAATACTAATCAACGGTAACACAGAATAAACTATAGCTACATTGAACAGAAAGGAGGAGATTGAGTAGAAGAATCCAAACACAGGTATATACTACATTATTTCATTTATAGTAAGTTCCAAACCAACTGATAGTGATGCAATGGCAGAATAAGGATAATGACCATCAGTGGGGGCGTGACTAAAAGATGGTATGGAGAAGAGAACCTCTGGATGCTGGTGACATCACTTACTGAACAAGATGCTTGTACAAGGAAGCAGTCACGTTGGGAAATTTCATGCATCTATATGGCTTCTTCATTTTTTTGGTTATATCTCATTCTTCCTTTGAAAGAGTTTAAAATAAACACACCAGCTATGATTATGGTATGTAGAAGAAATACATGACATTATAATTTTCTTGTCAATAACTCTCACATTTGACATCCCAATTGGCATCTCCAAGTATCCTCATACTTCTCCCTTGATGCTTTGGCTCATTTGTTCTCCCAACCTGGATCACCAGCCTTAACCTTCCCTGGGCAGTATCCTCTTCAGTCAATAAAACCCATTATGAATGACCAATTGGTCTCTCTCCAAACCTCAGAGCTCCTCAACTAAACATATCTGAACAACTCTAAAGGCATTCTTTTTCTTCCTATTACAGTTTATGTGCTTGCTCTAATCTTTTTTTTTTTTTTTTTTTTTTTTTTTTTTTTTTTTTAACTTTAAGCTTCCTTGAGTCAGGGGCTATGCTGTAGCCCTCTTTGTGTTTCCTTCCTGAAGTACTTGACATAGTTCTTGGCCTATAATAGATGCTATATTCTGTAAATATTTGTAGAACTGAATTGTTAGCCATAGTCCATTTTTAACTATAATATCTTTATATTCCACACACCTTTCTAGGTCATCTTTACAGTTCCTCGGAAAGTAATGATCTTTTCATTTATGGTCAAGGATAAGATTACTTTTGGCATTTCATCACAATATAACTGATAAGAGCAAACTTTGATTGTTTAATATTTCAATCTGCCAGGATCTATCTAAAAGAAGAGAAAGTGTTCCTTTCTTATGGGAGCAGATGTTTCAGGCAGACTAAATTGACGTTTTTTGCTTTTCTGTCATTTTTTTTTTTCTCCCTGATTGCTATTTTTCTTCCTTGGAGCTGGAAAGAAAAGGATTAAGAGCTAGTTCTAAGACTAGAAGGTGAAATCAAGGTGTATTCTCTGTGTTATTACACGAAATTGAGAAGGAATAACACATTTTCAAATCAGAAGGAGCTCTATCTACACCAGCTACTGAGATAACATACTGTAATGATTCACTTCAGATCTACATGGATAGAAGCCAGTTCTGTCTCTTGGTAGAAGGGCTTACCAACATTTTCATTTTTTTATTTCAGGGGGTGGGGTTCATTTCCTCTGTGTTTGCCTTTTGTACCTTTATAGTCAAGTCATGCAGATCGTTTTTTACATAACCTTCCCACCTGCCACTCATTTGGCACGTTATGCCGCTTAAACCCACAAACTAGCCATAGACATGTCCTGAGGAGAAGCTTCCAGATTGCAGCAGTTTAAGTTCTGATGGCTTCCCTCCTGGCTAGGAGGGTATGTTTCCCCAACACTGAAATACCATATTCTCTTGAAACAAGTTTTGCTTACTGCTTGTGACCCTGTGGCCTTGGGCTTTAAGAAATTAGTCTCCTTTAAATAATCCAAGAAGAAGAAAATAACATCCAACAGAAAGCACGGTTGCCAACTCAGTCTCTCTCATAGCTTGAAGCTGCACTAATTAGACATGCTTTTCTGTGGTTACAGATCTTCAACTGCCATGTTGGCTGAAGAAAAAAAAAATGCCATTTCTCCATTTTACTCTCACAGATTTCTATAGACTTGCTCCTGCTCTTCAGATACACATTATGGAGAAATCGTGAAAAATAACATTTATTTAAGAATGAGCCTGAGTAACTGTAAAAACACAAAGTACTGATCATTCTTGCAAAAGAACGTTTTAATGTAACATAACAAACCTAACCAGAGGAAAAAAAGAGGGTCAGGGAAGCAGGATTTCATGATAGCAACGGATAAATATTTTTCATTAAACATTAAAAACAACATCTGTTACTCGCTTCAACAGTGTGAAGATTTCACTTTATTAAGTTTGGGGTGGTTAATGACTTTAAAAGTAATTTGCAATTTAGGCATGTCTCTTTCTAATGGCTAATTCATGACTAAGTCTTTGGCGGTAACTCTCAATTTTATTAATTTTATTAATGGTCTCTCTCAAGAAAAAGTGACAAAATGGTACATCATTCTTTTGAATTGTGAAAATAAGACACGTGTTTTCTTGAGATATTTGCAGCTTTTCTCGGTGATTTCCTTCTCTAGGTTTTCTGCCTTTTTTCCAAGAAAGGGGTATCTGGAGACTAAAGAACAATTGATTGGCAAAAGAACCTCTCCTTTTCGCCTGTATTATTATTCTTCCTCAAAGCTCAGTTGATGGTAGTCATTACACTTCTTATCATGATGATTTTATTTGGAGGTCTTGCATAGGCTAAGCTGTTTCGCAAATGCAGATTAAGGCAGGAAATTTCAGCCCCAAAGTGAGTGGAGTTGAGAATTACTTTTGCTGCAACAGACCCATTGGTTGGGGGAGATAATGAGAATTCAGAAGCCTCTAGAGCCACCATGTTTGCCTGTATTGGCTCAGCCTGCATACCAGGTTTCAGCTTCACCTTCTTGCTGCCCATAGGAGCTGTCTTCTCAACTCCAACCTGATGAGTTGGACTCATAGTCTGCCCAACCCCCAAAAGGGTGAAAATTGTCTTTCATGTCTTCAACCAATTTATACCTGAAGTCAGTAGTACAGCGCTGCCAGTCCAATTCAAATCCATGGTCATCACGGTCCTCAGGACCAGATGGTACCACTGATAATCTCACCTTGATAGTCAAACTCTTTTCTCTCTGGCTTTCACCAGTCTTGGTGTCCTCCCTTTCTTGACCGCTGATAGACGTCAGTTAAGTCCCAGCAGGTTTGTAGTCTGCTAAAAGTGTATTGGTAATTTAAAAAAGAAACTGTCTAAAACAATCTCAGTATGTGTTTGGCACCTCATATTTTGTTGGATAAATTCATGGGGATTTTGTATTTGCCTCTATAATAGACACGTTTCTTACCTTGTAATATAAAACATTTCCTCAGATTTTGAATAGATTTTATGTTCCAGGGGGGAAAAAACCCTCAGAGTCTTCCCACTATTTCAAGTACTCTAAGCACACCTTTGCACAGCCCTAGTTTAAGAGTCCGGAATCTGAAGAGTAATGTTGAAATGTTGAAATGTTGTTGAAAAGCCCTAGTTTAAGAGTCCAGGATCTGAAGAGTAATGTTGAAATGTTGAAATGTTGAAAGAGTAATGTTGAATCATTACACCATACACATGAAACTAATAAAATACTGTATGTCAATTATACTTCAATTAAAAAAAAACAGATTTATTGAGGTATAATTGAAGACAAGTTGCACATAGCTAAAGTTCAAAATTTGATCTATTTTAATGTCACATCGACACCTGGTAAATGATTATCATAATCTACCTAATATAATCTATCACCCACAAGTTTTCATATGCACATTCGTAATGACTTTCTTCCACTAGTACTTGTTCCACTCCCATTCCCATGCAACCACTGATCTCTTTTCTGTCACTAGAGATCAGAATTGCATTTTCTTAAATTTTATATACTGGAATTATACAATATGCCCTTTTGTGTGTGCCTGGCTTCTTTCACACAGCATTGTTTTGAGAGTGACCCATGATCTAGCATGTATCAGTAACGCCTCATTTTTTAATTCTGAGTAGTACTACACTCTATAGGTAGAATAGGATTTGTTATTTTCTTATCTATTCACCAATTGATGGGATTTCTGTACTGTTTAGAGGTTATGACCATTACTATAGTTCCCCCTTATCTGTGGTTTTGTTTTGTCGAGTTTCAGCTAGCCACAGTCCACCATAGTGTGGAAACAGATGATCCTCCCTCTGACATGCTGTCAAAAGGTCCATTGTAGCCTAATGCTAAAACACAATACCTACATCCTCTACCTCACTTCATCTCATCACTTAGACATTCTATCATCTCATACCGTCACAAGAAGAAGGGTAAATATAGTAAGATATAGTAAGATGGTATAATAAGATTATATTTAGAGAGAGAGAGACTACATTTGCATAACTTCTATTATGGTGTATTGTTAATGAAATTGGTCTATTTTATGATTATTGTTAATATCTTACTGTGAGTGACTAATTTATAAGTTAAACTTTATCATAAGTAGGTATGAATAAGAAAAACACAAAGTATATATAGGGTTTGGTATAATTCATGGTTTCAGGCATCCACTGGGGGTCTTGGAACGCATACTGTGTGCATAAGGGGGCACTACCGTACACATAAACTTTCCATAACACACCAAATCTTGTTACAACATATGCTGTCAATTATTTTGGGTAAATAATTAGGAATGGAATGGTTGGGCCATATGATAGGTGTATGTTTCACTTTTTGAAAAGTTGGAATACTGTTTTCATAGGGCTCGTATCATTTAACATTCCCACCAGCAGTGTATGAGAGTTCCAATTCCTCCACATCCTTGAAATTAAATTATTGGCCCAAGTTCTCCTCTGGAGGCTCTGGGTACAAAATCTTCTTCCAAAACCATTCTTTTTGTTGGCAGAATTTAGTTCCTTGTGGTTTTAGGACCGAGTTCTCATTTACTTGCTGGTCGTCAGCCAGGGAATGCTTCAGCTCCTAGAGGCTACCTGTACTCCCTGCCACATGGCCACTCCATCTTTAAGCAAGGACCGATACGTTAGACCTTTCTTGGGCTTCAAATCTCTAACTCTCCCTTTTGCAGCTGGGAAAGGCTCTCTTTCAAAAGCCTCATGTGATTAGGTGCAGGACCACCTGA